ACAAGGATGGCGAAACTGTTTCTCACATATTTGACCATGTTGTTAGGAAGAGCCAGTCCTTAGAAAAGGACATCAAGCTTGGAAAGGTTAAAGGTTAGTGAAATAGAGGGAGACTCTCAACAAGAGGGATTAGTACAGTGACTGTAACTATAGGCTCAAGTATGTCAGAGACGATGAGGATGGTTCAATCTGTTGTTCATAGGGTCACCAGGAGTTATACTCAACTCAAAGGCACTTAACAATAACCAGCTACTGAACTGTCATTGTTCATGTGTGTGTGGGTGTGTGTGTTTGCGCATATAGATGTGCACACATATATTTTTTAATTCTAAACAACATGTTTTTAATTTGTTCTTTGACTATATATTCGTATAATCATGGCTTATGACTTTTTCATGGACTGACTTTCTTCATTCAGCATGTATTCTAAGATTTATCTTCTTTGTTATAAAACTAGAGGAAACCAAGTCCTTGCCTTCACTCAAGGACACTATCGGACAGAGTAGAACTGTACCGTATGGTTTATAAGGCTGCAGTCTTTACAGGTGCAGATTGCCACATCTTTCTCCCTCAGAGTTGCTGATGGGTTTGCACTGCTGATCTTTTGGTTAATAGCCACTGGGTTTGGGGTACAGACCTAAGGTCACTAGAAACCTTTTTAGTTTCAAAGGCTAGTCAAGTGTAAATTTTCAATGTTGTCTCTTATGGTTTTAAGAAAATAGCACAAATTATTTACAAATTATTTCTGGCTATGATTATTTGTTTTGCTTCTAGCTTTTCGGTTTCATGCTTGCTGTTACACACAACTCTGTTGGGAAATTTTAATGTACATGTTTCCTAATGTGAGCCTCATGGTCCCACAAAGCCATGGAGCCACTTCTCAAGAGTTCTGTGAGGAGTCTGGCTTCAGAAACAGAAAGGAAGGGGAATCTGAGGTAGATGATGGCCTCACTAAAACCAGAACCAGACCAGCTGCCATGGTGTCCATTCTGTGTGTGACAGAACCCAGCTGTGTTCCATAGAGTTTCGGTGGCTGATTTCATGGAAAGTAGATACATCCCAAGAAACGTTGGGTGAATTTGAGCCACCATTATTTTGGTTTATAGCTATGCATTAACCATCTCCCAACAATTCCTCTCAAGCCACTAAAAAAGAGAAGTTAAAAAATGAAGACTGCTGTTCAGTCTATTCTGACTCAGCAGCTGTTCATTGGGTTTCCAAGAGGAAACTGCTGCTCTTTTTTCTCACAGAACAGCAGTTGGATTCGAACGCCCAACTTTGCAGTTAATAGCACCACATAATGTGCACCATGTCACTGGAGCACGTTTTCCAACCCATTAAGCTCTCTTTTCCTTCCTCCCTTTTCATGTTCCTCCCTTGTCACTCACAAGTTAGGCAACTTATCAGTAATAGACAAGGCAAATTTGATTTGGTTTCTTTGTTACCCACTGCTTAGATTCTTTTTGTACTGAAAGCATATGAACCTTTATAAATCAACTGATAGAGGAAATAGCTTGTAATCTCCAGTAGTAATTAAGGGAATGGGCTTTGGAGTTGGATATGCCTACGTTCAAATCTCAGAATTCAGCTTGGTAATAATTATCTGGTATCAAGCTAATCAAAGAACTGCATAATTTAGTGTTCAGCTACAATATCTTAAAGTAATGATCATTTCTGCCTAACAATATGGAAGTGAGAATTAAATGAGTTGCACTGCCAGCCCCAAGTAAGCAGTTCGAATCCACCAACTGCCCCATAGGAGAAAGATGAGCAGTCTCCTCCTATGTGGTTGATAGCCTCCAAAAACCCACTGAAGAGTCAGCTGTGCATTCAGTTTAATGGCACATAACAACAACAATGTGTGTGGAAATGTCCGACATGATGTTACATGTAATAACCTGCAATCATGTACTAATTTATTCATCCATGGTAAAGCAAAAGGTGCACTGGTGGTGTAGTGAGTTAAATGTTGTGCTGCTAACAAAAGGGCATTGATTCAAATCCACTACTCACTCTGTAGGAGAAAAATAGTCCATCTCCACTCATAAAACTTCACAGCTTTGGAACCTGATGGCAGGGTGCTGTGAGGGATGCATGAGTTAGAACTGATTCGGCAGCAGTGGGCTTGACTTTGATCTTGTTAAAGGATCAGTGAAAATGAATGAGATCTTCAATGAAATGTTTGACATAGTGTCTGTAACAGTGGGCTCAAACATCAGTGATTGAGAGAGTGGTGACGGATTGAGCACTGTGTAGTTCTGTTGGTCACTAATCAGTTGGAACTGAAGCTTCAGTGATTCCTAGTGCAAATTGTAACAAAACACTGATAGTTGTGGCAGAGTTTTGTCTTTAAAAAAAAAACAAACAAAATAAATAAATAAACAAACAAACAAAAAAAAAAACCCAAGCAAATGCAAATTAAATCATAGAGCCCAAGAATTTTCACATTTATGCACACCCATGTTTATTGCTGTGTTCTTCACAATAGCAAAGAGATGGAAACAACCCAAGTGCTCATCAACAAAAGAATGGATAGAAAACCAGGTATAGTCACACAACAGAATACTATGCAGCACTGAAAAATAATGAATGTGTGAAACATTGTACAATATGGGTGACCCTGGAGAACATTATGCTGAGTGAAACATCACAGTCTCAAAAGGACAAATACTGCATAGTACCACTGTTATAAAGCAGGACTGACATAGGGGGTTGGGAGAAAAATGGGAAAAGAGTGTATTGATAATGAACACTGTATTGAACAGATAGAGGAAAGAACTGTTTAAAAAGATATATGATTATGCATTATATGTATGACAGTTCAGAATAAGAAGTACATTGCAAAGTGGACTGAAGGAGGGGGAGAGGAGAAAGGGAGGGAGGAAATTGTGCAACAATGAATGAATATAAAAAAGGAAAGGGAACTAGGGGGAGGGGAAGAGTGCAAAAGGTCAAACAGTGAATGCGTGAAAATCCAACTTCTGTAAACTTTCATTAAAATAAAAATTTAAAATGTTTTATTATTAATTTTTTTAACATTTCAAGTAAAATAGTTAAGATGATAATAATAAAATTGACCTTGTCTTTCTGTTACTGCTGAATTGCAAAGCTGTTATCTGTCATGGGAACCATTGGTGTGGAAAAGCAACAGAGGGAGTTGCAAGATGAGAATATTCACATCTGCCTGGAGTACTATACGTGGCATTTGCCTGGAGGTGGATCAGATGACCTAGGAGGCCTTTGAATGAATGATTTGAATCTTCAGGAATAAGTCTGCACTTCTGGAATCTGTGACATGCCTTCAATAACTGAGCATGAAATATGGCCAGTATAAATTGGGTGCAGGCTCAAAGCTTTGAAAATGCTACTGCAGGTATATTTGAAAGGCTGGGAAGCATTTGAAAGTGTTGGCTGTCATAGCGGCTGAGGATAGAGGGAAAGTAATAGACCACCCTTGCCTGGAGAGTATAGATTTGTTGTGTGCCCTTGAGTTGGAACAAACCCATAGCTGACCCTCCAGCAGGTTTTCAGAGGCAGTTATTGCACAGGAGAAGATTGCCCATCCTTCTCCCTCAGAGTAGCTGGTGAATTTGAACGGTGTACTTTAATACTTGAAAAAGTGTCTCCGTTGAACCTCTGAACACCAGAGCGAGTCAGATCACTGTGTTTTCATTAGGTTTAAATAAGCAGTTGCTATATAGTGGATTCCAACTCCCAGAGAACCCATATTGTATCAGCATAAACTGTTCTTTCCAAAGTGTTGTGCCAAGATTTTCTCCAAGGCACTTCTGAGTGGATTTTATCTCCAGAACCTGCAGGTTTTTGATTACTGTTTGCTCTATACAGGGAACCCCTGGTTTTCTAAGGCCACCCAACTCTTGCATATACAACTTCATTCATTACAGGCCAGACCCTCTTTAGTGGGCATGCTGAGGTGCATAGTTCCTGTCTTCATAGGGCTAACTCATTGAAAAGGAAGGCAAATAATAAAAAGGCAGAAACTCCCGAAAAGGCATGATGAGTTATTTCTAGGGATACCTGCCTCGCAGTTTTTCTGAAAAGCTGTTGCTTTAGAATGTCAAGTATGGGTGATGTGCCTACAATGAGATGATTGTCTGTAAATGATTTGGGGGCAAGTTTCAGGGTAAAGGCTTATTATGGTTCAGTTGAAGGTTGCTATTTCATAATTAATCTCCTCTTTGTTTTTTCTTACCCATCCGCATTACTGACCCAGATAGTCAGAAATGTAGAGGAGGACAAAAGGAATCCCACAGTTAGGCAAGTTGATGGGGCTGGAATTCCCGGACTCCAGTTTGCAGGAGAAAACTGTGTCTCTTTAAAAATGTGTAGTCACGGAGACCATGTGGGGCACTTCTACTGTGTTCTGTAAGGGTCGATATGAATGACAAACTCCTCAAAGGCAGTAAGCAGGGCATAGTCTGAATGTTCCTGGAGCCTGCATCAGTGATAAGGTTATGGGCCTTGTGGCCACCGTAGAAGGATCCTGGCCCCAGGAGACTGAAGGCCTGTTGGTCCACTGTAAATTGCTGCCTCACCTCACATCAGAAGTTAAGGCAGTTTTCCCAGCAGGGGGAGGGACCTGTGCTGTTCAGTCTTGAGCTATGAACAGGCTGAGAGCACTTTGGAAGTTCACCCTGGTTCGAGGGGGAAAAGGTGTGGATTTGATTTAAGGTACTCTGCAGCGGGCCTTAGACGTCTTGGTACTTCCTTACCCCATGGGCCTTCTAAACCTGCGTAGCTTTGGACCTCAGAGGTTTGCTGTGACTCTGGGATCAAGGCTCCCAAGCAGGTTTTAGCCTTGTGGTAGCTGCTCGTGGAAGTGTTCATCTTTAGAAGTGCCTGCTTCTCTCTTTTCTTCCAGCAGCCCGTTCCTCACTCACCCTCTCGCCAACATCCCATCCTGGGACAAAACATGTGCTGTGTCTTTAAAAGGGCGGCAGCGGCTTGCAGAGCTTTGCTTGGGTACTGCATTGATTAGGAGATTATATGGAGCTGTGGGAGCCGCCGCTTGGGGGAAGAGGGGTGCAGGTTCCGCTGGGTTTTTGCTCTTCTCCTGGGCTCTCCTTGAGTTCTTCCTCCCAGGCTGCGGGGAGAGGAAAGAGGTGAGGGTGGGTGGGTGGCCAGCAGCATGTCTGAGGACAGCACCTCCTGGGCTTGTTTTGCAGCATTGCCCATCCTCAGCCGAAGACCACAGTGGCAACCACAGCTCTGGCAGGGTGCTTCAGCCCCGGGCAGGGTTAGTAGAAGCCATCCTTGCCTCTGAGCCTCTTGGCTTCTCTCTGGCAAAGGGGAACACAGCCTCTGTGGTTCTTCTGGCTTGTGTGTCCGTGTCCCGCGGGCTCTCGCTCTCTCTCTCCTCTTTCTCTTCCTGTGTTCAAGTCACAGTATATGGGATTCTGTTCTTTGGGGACTTCGTCATCTTTTCAAATATGTCCTGGGACCTCTGGACCTATAACGGGGATGCTAAGGACGCGGTCAGTGGATTCTCATGACTGTACTAATGAAAGGATTCAAGCTATCTTGGTAAGTAAAGGAGGGCTAAGGTGCGTCCCTCCTCCGTTGACTTTTCCTCACCCCTACATCCCTCCCAGCACCTCAGCATCCTCAGCTGGTCTCTCCTGAGTGGTGTGAAGAGGTTAAGATGGGGGCTATGCACCCTACAAAGTTGGGTAACCCCTGGCTCACCCCAGCATCTGCACTGCTGCGGTATTTCTGCTTGCCTTTTCCTTGGGGTAGGGGTTTTGAGGAAGTTGCCAGATTGTGAGAGAATTCAACTGCAGAGACCAAGATTGTTCAGATCTGAAAGGGATGAGTAGTGGTACCCACACAGGGAAGTTTATAAAGAGCAAGCTCCTTTTGTCAGGTGCTGTGCGTTTGCATGAGGACGGAGGTGTGATTCTACCCTTACCCCAGACTGGCACCTGGAGGAGGCCTGTCTTATTTCCCTTTAGGGCTCCCTCCACTCTGGTGGGCAGGCCTTTTAGAGGCTTCTCTCTGAAGAGAGAGAAATGAGGGATCAAGCTCCATCTTCTTGATGCCTGATGACCACAAGAGACTGGACTTCCTCTACCCTCCCCCCACACACACATACCTAGGGACTTTGTGAGCATCACTACTTTGGCTTAATATTGGGCTGTTAAAGGCCTCACTCAATTGGGGATTAGAGAAGCTGAAGTTGACAGAATGCTTTTGCATTACATTATAAAATAGAACCCTTATCTCTCCCTCTTCTCTCTTGACTCACTGAGGATTAGACAGTGCTTGCGTGAGTTGGCTTTTTTTTTTTTTTTTTTTAAATCTGGTCTAGGAACAGTAGTTTTCCTGGGAAAACTTCACAGTGCAGGGAGAGGGCTCCGGTAGTCCCCAAAGAGCAGACTGTACTGCTCCCTGGAGGAGTAGGGCTCCTGGGCTATGTTGGAGCTTCTCTCCTTAAAGGAGGTGAGGTGGAGGCAGGAAGTGAGCTTGGGAGTGGCTCCCTGCAGGCCTCTGTCTTACCTTCCTCCACTCCAGTCCTCCATGGTGGGTGGCTGGAAGGTCAACTCTCTGGATTTAAGAGAGTTGTATAGAGCTTCTCAGATGAGTACCAAGCATTTTAACCTGAGAAGTCCAAGCCCGGCTCTAGGCTACCTCTGGTTTCCCAGAGATCCCTAACTTAGATTGAACCTTGACAAAATCAATCTAATCGAGCCCTCTTCTCCAGGTCAGTAGGTGCTTTGGTAGGTCCTGGAAGTCTTTTAGAAGAAGGGACAGGAAGGAGCTTAGTTCTTCCACAGTTAACTCTTAAGACCTTGGCTATCAGGGACGCCAGCCTGTGGTTTCTGTTCCTCAGGACTGGTCTTCAGCCTATTTTGTAGGCTCTCCTCCAAGATTGGGACAGGGAGGCAGGGGCTTTACAGTGCCATCTGTCCTTACTTTCTTAGAACCAAGTATACCCATTCCTCTGGGCTTGGAAACTGTTAGCAGAGCCCCTTGTCACTGTGTATGTCAGATCTGGATTAGCAGCCCAAGCAAAGCCCCTTGTTCTCAGCAGAACAGAGCTGGGTCTGTGACTTGAATGAAGCCTCCCAGAAGAGCCCAGGAGCTGCCAGGTGAGCAGGGGCACTGGGCTACTCCTCAGGAATCACTCAGCGTCCTCCAGTGCTACAGTGTCAGCATCCCCAGCCTGATGAAGAGGTAGCTTGGCTGTCATTCAGGATGAGACATCTCTTTGAGACCGAATGCTTCGAGCTCAGGCTGGTTTGGTCCCTCAGAACAAGAAGAGACTTTTGCTTTTAAAAATCCGCCCTTGGTATCTCTTGATGTATTTCAGCAAGAAGAGTGGTGTTAAGCTGGAATTTGCAGTGGAGGGTAAACTTGTCCTCTTTAGCCATGTCAAATTTTACATAGGAAAATTGTGTTTTGTTTTAGATTTACCTGGATGCTTTGTGATCCTGTGATCTCTCATTTCATATATACAGATATGTTGGTCCATTTGGATCGAAGCCTTGTGACTGTATTAGGGGTGTTTGGTTTTGACATGCAGCTCCCTTTAATAGTGTCATGCATCATGATACTTTCTATGTTTAGTAGAGCGGATGATGGAACATAGTCACTCCCTTGTCTTGATTGCACTGTCTATATTGGGAAGATAATGGAATTGATTAACTTTCTATTGTTTTTTTGGTCTTCTCTGGAAATATTTTATGAATGATTGCTATGTATTGGGAATATAAAAGGGACCATAATGATGAGAATGAGAATAATGACCAGAACCAATTGCTATTGAATTGATAAAGACCTCATAAGTTTTAAAAGTAGAGTTGTGATGTGTAGAGTTTTCAAAGATTATTATTATTGTTGTTGTTGTTGTTATTGTTATTATTATTATTATTATTTTGGGAGGAAATACATCAGCAGGCCTTTCTTTTGAAGTGTCTCTGGATAGACTAGAACTTCTAACCTTTTGATTCACAGCTGTTTGCACCACTTAGTCCAAGAATAATGACAACAAACATTTACTTCACACTTACTGCGTATCAAGCACCAAATTATGCCCTTTGTATGTATTAATTCACATAATACTTACAGTGTTGTGACCACGATCTCCATTGCACAGATGGCAAGGGGACATGAAGTGACCTTCATGATGAAGGCATCAGATGTGAATCAGACTTTGAATATGAAGCAATACAATTTTCCTTTGATTCCAAGGTCTTTCTTGGGACATTCTTCTATAATATATATACTTTCTCTGTTCATGATGCGAGGTTTTTAATGTGTATATGGTGTTATATAGTTTGCAACTATATATAGTTTCTGTTGTATTTCCTCGTGTTCATTTGGTGAATTAGAATACTAATAGTTTATTGAAGCTAATTGTCTCATTTGATCCTTTATACAACCCTGAAGCACGTGACCACCACTTTAAAGCTAGGGGAACTGGGGTTTAGCATGACTAAATTAACTTAGCCAGCTAGCAAGAGCAAGGAGATCTAACCCTTGTTACTGACCACGATTTCCATGTCCAAACTCCCAAGGCGTTTTTCTGGAGAGCAGGGTAAGGTCTCTAAATCCATTTATTCATTCATTTCTTCATTCTACAAATGTTGGTTGAGGATCTATTATTTTCTTTGCTTTGGCTATCTAGGGACTGATGGCCCCTCAGACTGACTAAGATCCCCTATAGTTATACGTTTGTGCGTGCGCATGTGTGTGCGTACACCCCGCCCCCCAATTCAGTAAATGCCAAGGGACAGCAGATAAGCACAGTGAACAACAAGTATTCTAGACCCAGCAGAGATTGAAATCTCTGTTTCAGCAGAGTTTGAAAGGTTTCTTGGAGCAAGTGGCACTTGAGTGAGGGTCTTGATGTCTGGGCAGTATCAGGCCAGTGGAGGCCAAGCTGTGCAGAGCTAGTACACTAGATGCTCTTGGATGAAGTTAATTTTATGTGTCTGTAATTAATGAGTGGCTGGATTGTGAGGTAGAAATCCTCCCCCCAAACCAGGCCACTCCTTCATATGGCAGGGGCTTTAGCTGTAGTAAAAGATGACTTTGATGAACAAGGTAAAGGCAGAAGTGGGGAGGTGGTTTAAGAGAGGAGGTGGCACCCACAAACAAGAGCTCTAGGTCACATAGTCAGGATATTTTTTATTTATTGAGGATATTTTTAAGAACAACTCACCAGTCCTCCTTACTGTCAACATGGATAAGTTGGTGAGGTGCATAAATGCATCTGAGAGTTCTAATTCCTGTAACGTTCCACAACCTCAGATTCTGAGAGGGGCTCCTATTTCGTGGGCTTATTCCCTCTGTGGATCGTTTTGACCCTTCAGGAGGTGGCTGAGAAAGTGGTAGCATCTGTTTTCATTCTTCCCTAGTTCCTTGGCCCCCATATGTGTTGAGGTTGGTGGTACTGTCTCCACAGAGCCTGGGGACTGTGATAGACTTTCAAGAAAGTCAGTGCGCGAAGAGAATTTAATTCTGTGAAAAAGTAGATTTGAGAGCGTGTGTGGTTTTTGACACCAGGTGAAGCGCTTCTGCGTTGATGTTTGAGTTGGCAAAGAAGAGCAATTTTGCCTTTCTGTTGTATTTTAGTAGGTGAGTACTAAAATAAAAACCGTGGTACTTTCTTACTGTTTATTTAGGAAGATGAATGTTGTGTGAGAGAGCCTCCTTATATCCTCCCCAGGTAACTGGGTATCATTTATTTTTAACACTCCTGTTTTATAAAGATTAATGGCCAGCCATGTTGTATTTGCTACAAAGTCCAGTTGTCTTGTGTACTTTTCCTCTTCAAATCTGTTGATGAATCAAGTCTTCCTCCATTTTCAGCTGTTGTTTTGATCCATGAGAGAAGAAATGAGTGAGACTGGAGCAGGATGAAGTTAAACATAAATAAGATTTTGACATAAGGAAAGAGTTTAGACTTTCTGCCTCTGGAGGGTTCAGACCAGGACATCTATCTGTCGTTTGATGCTCTTTTTTGTACGAGGGAGATGCTCTGGGTGCCCTCTCCACACCTCTGTAAATGTCAGACTTCTCAGTTCTGAGATGTTTCACCTCACAGAAAATAAACTTAAGGTAGGGGCTGACCAATGGCTTAAGACTCTGGAGATAAAAAGTAAAATCAAATCTGTTTGTTGTGGAGCTGGTTTCAACTCATAGTAACCCCACAGGACAGGGTAGATCTGCCTCATTATATTTCTAAGACTGACATCTTTATAGAATTAGACTGCCACATTTTTTTTGGTGAGCGTTCAAGCACTCCAGCCACTGCTTTGACTCAGAGTCTCGCGACCACCTTTTGAACTATTGTAGGGCTTTGGTGGGTGATTTCTGTTTGCCTTGGGTGGTGGTTGTTTTGAAAGTGGCATGAAATAACAGTGCTGGGCAGCTCAGATGGCCTCTCAGCTTCCGTTTTGTTAATAGCTTAGAACAAGGCCACAGCGCTGATAGAGCAGGCCACTTGTGATGTGGCCGGTCGGGGCACTGCTTGAGCCAGCAGGAGACACTAAAAATAAACTTTCATTTGAAAATATGAA